CAAAGTTTATGCTAGGCTCGTGCTTTACTTTTGCTTCTGAGGGTACTTTTCCATAATTCGTGCTTACAAATCCAGCTTAGGCATGGCTAAAAGATTCTAACCACCCTACTTTATGCCTTGAACCATACTTGTTTAAACTTGCTTCAAGAACAAGTCAGCGCCCCAGCATATGATGGCCGTAGTCTTGACTTCTCCAAGCTCCAAAATCCTTGCCTATAAATTGAACTTCATTTGCAACTGTAAAGGGGGGGAATATTTGAGAAAAAGTCTTGAAACTTTGCTAAAATTTTCAAAGAACTTGAAACTCCAAATCACCCACACAGCTTCTGATACACATTTAGAAGTCGTCCCAACTCCTGTTTTCAGACTGTAACACGTTCTTCATCAATCTCCGTCTCAAAAATCAGAACATTTTTTCTTGGCTGATCCAGAACGCTCCAGCCATACACAGTTAAAGTTAAGGGTTGTTCTAGCTTTCTGAGAACTTGAGGAAGCTTACCAGAATATCACAACAGTCAGAACCAGGCTCTAGTTCACAGAACAGTCTCCAGCTGTAAGGCAAAGATACAATGTAGACATCCTGACTCTGATTATGTATATATTCATAGATTTCAGGTATTTTTGCCTAAGTAAAGAGAATTTCAGTTTAGAACTTCTTGAGGAAATTAGGATTCAGAATTAGGAATAGAAAAATCCATGCTTGTTTATGATTTACAGTTCTAATACTTTATACTTCTGAAACCATGATGAAAACTGTCATAACTGCTATGTTTGCATTTTCTGTTTTGTCGAGAAATGGCTAAACTGTAGATGCTCTGACTGGAGTGGAAGAGGAGATGAAATTCATCATCAGAACTTAATTTGTGATATACGTTTATGTTTTTGCTTCTAATACCGGATGTATAGTCACCCCAGTGGTAGAGAGCGCATGCATAAGACATTAGTGTTAAGGGTCCTGAGTTCTAGCCCCAGAGACACCTTTTTATGTTTATTTCCTGACATTTTTACCCATTAGTTGGACCAGAACTTCTAGATAAAACCCCTCCCATTTGTTTGTCAAAATAGGGACCCTGGACCAGAACTTCTAGATATTCTTATCCAACAACATTGACACTTCACTTGCCCACTATTAGAACCTCTAGGTCTCCAGTTGCATCAAAACTTCTAGTCTCTCTCAAACGACCAGAACTTCTGACCTACCAGTGACATTAGAACTTCTAGATTCCCAGCTGCACTAAAGCTTCTAGGCTTCCTCAGCAATCAGAACTTTTAGACTTTCCTTTGTTCCCAGCAACCCTAGAATTTCAGTGTACCCGGACCCAGGACTTCTGATCTTCCCCATTTCTGCTTACATATTCTTTCTGATTTGCAGCGCACCAGAGTCATAACTTCTGCTATCCCCCTTTTAACAATGCGTTGATTCTGATTCTTTTCCCTTTTATTATTTTCATTAATCAAAAACACCAAAAATACTTTATATTCATACACTTTTCTTCATTTCTTTTAAAACCAAAAGACAAAATATTTTCTTAAGCAAATTTATTTTTTCTCTTAACAAAAACAAAACAAGCCTAGTTTATATTTTTTGTACATTATTTCAATATGGTTGTAATAGATAATTAGGACTTTAATTTCTTGCAATCCCCATTTCTAAATTTGTACACCCCATCCCCTTAATGATTGTAATATCATAGAATATTTACTTTCTGCAATTTATCGCTTTCATATAAAATACTAGTAAAATAGGATTTGTATGGGAAGATAAAAACAACAAGTAGACAACCCCTAATCAAAGACTAAATACATACAAATCAAACACAATATTCACACATGCACCCCTAGGGTTAACTCTACTTGTTGCCTAAAAATGGTCATGTTATGCATATGGGATATCTTAGCAAAACAATGAAAAATACAAGATCATAGTCCCTCGATGACGCTTCAAAAAGTTTCTTTATAAATGATCTTAGTCCCTCAAGAAAATGCTAAGATATCTCACAACATTGCTATCATGACTATACGATGACCCATGCCCGTCCCTTTTACATCCAAAGATAAAGCTTCTTACCAATCAATGGTGAGATAGTAATATCAAAAGAATGGAGGAAATGAATGAAAGACTTTTGAGTAGGTAGAAACATTCCTAGTTGCTTGCTCACTTTCAAAACAAACATCCTTGCAAACACACACCAAACACTTTCAAAACATGAAATATTTTCAAAAGTCCAACACTTTGTATACATTCTTATAGGACGAGAACCATTACAAAGTTTACCTAAACAAAGGCGCTTTTCAAAAATACTTTCAAAAAACCATCACAAAGCATATTTTCAAACAAAGCAAGTGATCTAGAAAGCAACTAAGAGCCCATAGATAACTATGGATGAAAAGGGTGCTAATACCTTCCATTTTCATAATCTACCCCCCGAACTCAAGAAAATAATCTCAAAGGTATTTCCTATTCTTTTCACCCTTTCCTTCATTGGATAAAAGAAAAGTCGGTGGTGACTCTTGCTAACCGCAACAATTGCGATCAAACGCAAAACATATTGCATGGCCTTCTCTGCATCAGCGAGGGCGTCGTATGAAACAAAGAAATCCTTAACCTTCTTTGAGAAATGGTTTGGGGAGCAAAATAGTCTCCTTTGGTTTGTGCACCTTGTTGGCTTTGTAGAAGGGATTGGAACAATGCATAGCTCATCATGAACAAGAGAGGAAATAGAAGTAACTAAGAAATATCCGATTTTAAAATACTTTCATCTCTCTGTGTGAACACAAAGGACTTTATTTTTTGCACGACGAAAAGAAACGAGTTCGTAGCCTTCGTCTCCCTTTGAGACGGGGTCAACCTCAAAGAGGTGGAAAAAGAGGTTCTTGGAGATCAACCCATGTCTCCCTGGTACTCGTACAAGTACTAAGAAACCCTCACAAAGCCCCAAGCACACAAATGAATCTCCGAGGGTGATGTGAAAATCATATAATACATCCTTTTAAAAGGCAGTCAACGGAAATTGTACTCCCAATTTCTCGAAAATTCAGTCATAAAAGGGAATAAAACACCCTTCAAACTCATGGCACACCCACTTGTCAGCAGGAACTTTTGAGATTACCCTGTCAGAGGGGGACTCCAATTTGAAGGTGGTTGTCACCACTTCAGCCTCCTATGTATGTGTGGAAGATGTTTCCAAATATTCAGGATCCACAAAAGAGTAATCTTCTACGTTTTTCGCTGCCATCAGAATGATCGGATCTTGTGTATGTATTACAAAACAAATCATATCAGTTAGTAGCAATAGACTATTGGTAAAAGGGATTTTTTCCCCCAAGAGGCTGAACGGAGCAACCCACTTCCCTTAGACGATGAGCACTCTCCACTAGGGAGCCCAATGCACCATCCACGGAATTCCTCTGATTAGATGTGGTTAGATGCAGAGTGGAAACGATGATGTACCTGTAAAGAAAAGTATGAGAGCAACAGAAGGTCCAAAGACTAAAGCAAGAGAGTTGGTAGCCAAATCCAGAAAGAAGGGGTAAGCGAAGAATAACAGGAAGGAAAAGTGAATTTTAGGAGCAAAACTCACTTTTTATAAAGGAATCAACCGAAAATCAATGGACTATAAAGGGGCAGAGAATAACCAGTGAATTTTGAGAATCAGAATGAGGAGGCAAAAACACTCAAGTACCTTAAATAGGGGAATCATTCTTTGGCCTGCATACCTAGGACTATGTGTTGAGATCAAATAGCAAAACATTTATGCATTAAGGAAGCATTTAATGCACCTGCTCCCCACTGCCTTTTTAACTGACTCTAAGCATTTCACTTCTAGTTTAAATCAGACGAAGTCCCTGAAGGCTAGCTCATTGCTCGGTAAAGCTTTGGAGACAATTGTTCTGGACCGGCCAAAGGCCCAAAATGGCTAAGGCTCATACCTACTCAAATCCACTCTCTGAGGCAAAGTATAAAAGACCGGTCACATAAAACGCAATGCACATTCTCTGATCTTCACTTTTCACTACAATCATCTTGAATCTTGAATTGATTTGAATGTCAAAATGCTAACCTTGTAGTTACATCCTTGCACCACCGTATCGAAGATCAACATCACTTGTTCAAAAGTTCACACCAACAAATAACATCCAATTCTAGTTCCAAAATTGAACATTAGTGATATTCTAACTAAGACTAGTGCTAGAAACAGTAATTAAGGATTATGTTGATAAATATAAAAGTTAGACATTGTTAGTTTTGTTGATAAATACAAAAGTTAGACATTGTTAGTTTCATTTTTTTAAGTATATGTTAACAATAACATAACACTTAAATTATCGGTATGTATATTAGAGATATACTTATTGACAACTTAAGTGGTATGTTATTATTAACTAAAATTAGAGAGTAACCAAAGAACTAGAGATAGATTAGATGGAGACTAATCAAACAATTAAAGACAAAGAAAAACTCATAAAAATTTAAGAGAAAACTATTAAAGATCTCAAAGTTAACGAGTAGATAAGATACAGTCTTTAAAAGAATATTATAGCATAAATCGATCCAAGTAACTGATGCCACAACTATGCTTTTCTGCCATTGATGCGTTAAACTTTGCAAATCCACAATTAAACATTTAATCCTTCACAATTGGGTTGTATCACAATCAACTATCTCCCTATAATTGGTCTCCTTCCAAATACAAAACCAGTAGTTCTCTTAAAAATGTAAACCAAATTACAATTCGACATAATGATGGACGTTCTGATTACAAAAAGAAAGGGGTCTAAAATATATAAATCAACACACAATTGACCAACGGGAATCGTAACAGTTTCGGCCAACACTCAATTCATATTAACATTCAAGACATCAATTCTGTTGTGGTTGGCCAAATATATTCTAAATAACTTCGCTTAAAACTCCCTCCGCTGTCCACCAGCTTCAGTCGTTGTTCATTGAATGATACAGTTATTTGGTGAAATTCAAACACCAATCGAGGGTACAAATCTCAAATAAGCCTTAGTTCATACTCTCCACCCGTTGTTATGTATCTCACCCATGGAAGAGCCTGATACCCACTTTTCTCAATAATCTTCAAATATCTTACCTGTAAATCAAAACATACATGTTTGATTAGCATCTTGATTAAATTAATCAAAGGCTGCTTTTAGTGCCAAGGATATCATAGATTCAATATATATGGTCAAGAGTGGTTGATAACTATCCAAGCAATTGAAAGACTCCCTCAAATGCTAGCTATCATGGTAAATATAGTAAGCCACTTAAATACTCAGAGTGAGACTTGGGCACGGGACACCCCATAATTCAGGGTGCTTTGCGACATTTTATTCGGCCTTTTAGGTCAACCTTTCCGTTGGTAGCTATTTCCAAGGGGCCAACAACCAACTCTGATATCATCTTATAAGTATCTAAGCACTTGAGGAAACCACCCTTAAAGGCTAACTATTACAGGGGAGAATCAAGACACTTAATATTAAACCAAGCATCCAATACTACTGAATGTGGGACTTGGGCACCCCATAGCACATGTTATTATCATGTGAATGGGAATAATGATGCTGCATTTAGTAATCTTATAAAAATCATATCTAGTACACAACAAAACTGTTAATCGGGGAAAGGTATAAAATGATGTGCATTAGTTTCTAATCCAATTATTATGTCAAGTTCTTTTTTTGCATTAGGAATTATCAACAACCTGAACCGAATATAAACTCAGTGAAAACAAATTTGAACTAAAAGACTTTCATCAACATGGAAATAATGAAAATGACAGGTGAGACACCAGCAGACAAATAATGCATGAAGGCGCGAAAGATACATATTACTAGAAATGGATATAACAAATATTCAGAAAGAAAAAAAAGAAGAAAAAAAAAGAGGGTGCAATTAGCAATACCTGTATTCCTGACACAGTAAAATATGGTATCTCAAACTTTACACGTATAGGAGCTTTTCTTTCTGGAGCTGCTTCCTCGTCTGTTATGCTGGGAAGACGAAACTCTGCCCTTAACATGTACTCCTGATGGTATTGAACAAGAGAACCGAATTTGTTATTTCACAATAAAAAATGATAATCAATCATGGGTGTTATTCATGGAAATACACCATTTCCAAGTTAACTAATACCTTGCCTCCAGGAAAAGATCTTATTTTCCAAATTAATGCATCTTTCTCTGGTGCATATGCTGCAGATCCCATTGATGTCCGCACATTTGGAGTGGTGGCATCAGCAGGCACAGGTAACTCAATCTCAACATTTGTAGCAGTGCTGTAAAATTAAATTATATAAATAGATGGAGAAGTAAGTACATGTAGGGTGGTCAAAAATAAAGTCTAGATCAAACAACTGAATTAATTCATAAATTTAAGGTAACTAGTTGTTACATCTTCCATGAAGGAAAACTAAGGAAAGAGGAAGATACATATACATTAAAAAAACATATCAGTACCTACGTTCCTTAAATTGACTCCTAGCTTTTACCGTAATCTCAATCCGACTTTTAGAATGCTTTTCAACTTGTGCTTCCACCCAAAATAAAGGCTTAACCTGGAAATAGAGATCATATGATCAGCAAACACTCTGAAAATATATTTGTATGTCACCACCACAACTCAAACAGAAAATTATTTCATATCTAGAGAGGAACCTGTGTGCTGAGCCTATATGTCATCAAATCAAATGATCCATCGGGCGGGATAAAGGATATTGTTCGATCATTCTCAAATCGGGCTAATCGCACACACCTTCATCAAGAATCAACACAGTTTGAGAACTAGAATCAAGAATAATATAAACATGCTTGAAGAGAGCACATTAAATATACAGCATAACTTTTTATTCAGTTAATATAAGAAAATCAAGTATACGTACTGATGAAACTTGATGTCCTCCAAGTCAATCGCTTTTCCCTTAGTCGCTCTACCTTGTGCCTCTAATAACACTCTATCATTTAAGCCAAGTTTACACTCTGGCATACCACTGTATTACACAACAAGGCATGGATGAAATATTTAAGTTTTCAAATAAATACACAATCACAGAAGTTGCTTAGAATCAAATATACTTCAAAACAAAACAAAAGCTATGTGTTCGAAACCAATATCAACAGCAAAACAAGGGAGTAATATGAGTCAAGTAGTAGAACATATCTCCAATATATCTAATGATGCAATGTTTAGTCCCAGCTACTTAAGAGAAACATACTTCAATTGCTACTTTCATTAGATAGAAGGAAAAGAATGTAAATAAATCCATAGTGGTGTATTACAGGAGGAAACATAAGAATAAGGCTTAAGTGTTAGTTAGTAGCCTCAGTTAGTTAGTTCCTAAGTGTTAGTTAGTAGCCTCAGTTAGTTAGTTCCTAAGTGTTAGTTAGTCTCTAAGTGTGTGTTAGTTTTATTCGGTTTCTTATTCGATTAGCAATCTGTTATGTTTGTTGCTTAGTTGTTTTTTCTGTTAGGATAGAGCTCTAAGATCCTTTACCTATCCCTATGTAAAGGAAGTCTATAAATAAGGTTTTCCTTCCCCTTTGATAACCCAATCACTGGGTTCAAATCATACAAGCACAGCTTCTAGAAGGTTGTAGAAGCTGTGGAAATAATAGTTAGTTGGGATATTCCCTGGATTTTAGGGAATTTTTTGTTATTAAAGAGAGGGAAAAGGTAGTGTGTAAGGCATTCAGAAAAGTAGTTGCCATTCTGTTAGGAGAATATTCTTTGGTCTAGGAACTTCATGTTATGGTTAGGACTTAGGAGTTTAACAACTCTGGTTTACCCTTTTCAATTTCCGTTTTCTACCATTGTAGAGCTCTTGAACTCATCTTTTCCGATCAATGATATACGGTTTTGTTATCTTTATTGTTCGGGTTCTATCATTCTCTCTCTTTTCTTATTATAACTCTTGACTGGTGAGTTTTTATCAACTGCTAAAGGGTCTTCTTTTGTCTTCTGTGTCATTATTTTCTCCTCCTATAACCATTTTTTCTACAATAAGTGTATATTCTTAATATGATTTATAATCATGTTTTTTTGACAGAATTTGTATAGTCATGTTATATCATCAAGCTTAATTCTTGAGTTGGGGAACCAATACATATTTTTATTTTGTTGTGTTTGAACAATTTAGTTGTTTCATGTTATATTATAATTATAAGAAAATACCTTACTTTTATATTTTATATTGACACACCAGTGTCTTAGCTTTTTAAAAAATGTTCTATCTCGTACTACTCATACCCAATACAAGTACCATACCCGTACCTATGCATCCCAGCCAAAACCCAATGTCATACCACCTTGCATTTCATTAGAAGAAAATTGAGATACAGAGCTAGAGCACTAAAACTTCAAGGATTGCAGATTTCCCAATTGCCCAAAGGCCCTAAATCTATCCAAGATGCCTCCCTTCCTGTAAGGTCTTCCTCGTATATCTTTGCACATCGCAGCCTAACCTTTATTTTTTTATCATACCTACATTTTTACAAAACATATCCAACACCGCAAGTCATGCAAACCTGCATTTTATTAGGAGACATAGGGAAAATTCCCTTGAATACATACAGAACTAGAACACTTAAATTGAGGTTCTTCAAACATCACACTTTCCCAAAGGCCTTAACTCTATCCATTGACATGATGCTTCCTGCAAATCCCTTCTTCTTATTTCTAGGCACATCAGAGCCAAGCCTTAACCTTTGAAGCATGGGCACCGCTGGTTTTAAGCATGTCCTGTGTCTGACATGTTTTGAACAACGACACGTATGACATGTATCAGACACTTCACTTAGGTGTACAAAAGAAAATTAAGTTTTTTCACTCCAAATGGCTCCGACACTTACCGGACACCCTTAGGCTCAGAAGGGACACCTAAATGGTTTTTGACAAATCTCCCTAACAAAAAACCTATGTAAGCCTTATTACTAAACCCAAATAACTAGTAACACATCTCAAGAGGTTGAAATTCAGTAGTTCACAGGGATGCACAAAGCAAACCTCAAATATGTTCTCATCTTCAATGCACCAACAACATCAGATCTAATTATTTGTCCATTGCTATTGACAAGTATGTTAACACTCTCCACCACATCCAAGAAAACCTGAAAACAAAATATATTAATCAGTTGCTTAGACCATAAAACCACACATCCAAACAAAACATCTTCACTTTTATATCAGTAACCTCATTTTTCTTGTAGCTTATCCCTTCACTTCGCCACGACACAGCATTTGTTACAGCCATGGGAGGTCTTTGATTAACTTCCATTCTATAAGCATCTGTCTTAATAAATTCACTAAGAATTTTCGCCTCAGTATATTGCGGGTAACCAAAGTCCATTATTTCATCAAGTAGTTCATACTGCCAACCAAAGAAAGAATTCAGCATTTTACCCAAATGAATTAATACTAATAAAAAAAAACATGTTCATAGATAGACAGGCACTTTACCACAACCACAAAGTTATCCCTAAGAGATTCCTCTTCCAATTCCTCAAAATAATGCTTGAACACCTGCCTCAAACACATTCCAACCAATAATTATTATTGCATAATGCACAACTAAACTATTGAAAGTTAAATCGAAATGATTCAAAACCAATAGTGCATGCTTACATCAACTATGCGATGAAGGAAGAAAATGAGGCTTGCGGCATTGCAGTTTTGTCTAGTTGCAGTCATAAGGTAAACATTGCTATGCTGTACAAACATATAGCTCACACCATTATCATATACAACTGGATCTTGAGACTGTGGATCACCCTGTCACAATTTCAAAACAAACAATCAAAATCATCAATTCCCGTTCCACTATAATTAGCACAAAATTAAACAAAGGAGGGATAATTAAGGCGTTAGATGAACCTCTTTCTCGATGAGCTTGGTGAAGAAGCGTTCGGCTTCAACGGCGGTGACATCGCCGCGGTAATCGCGCCAAATGAGAACGCGGCCTTTGATGTCGAGAAGGAAGAGAGCAGAGGCGGCACCTGACATTGGAGAGTGATTCCGAGCCTGGATCGGGTCGGATTGGATCGGAAATGGATCGGGATTGGATCAGTGTTGAGAAGAAGTTGAGGAAAATTAGGGTTCAGGCAACCGTTGAAAATGAATCATGTTGATGATTCAGTTTCTGGTTTTGAAGTTTTCAGATTGGAGCTTCGTGTTTTTTTTTTTTGGTTATGATTCTTCTTCTGCGCTGGGTTGAAAGTTGGAAGTGAGAGTGCAATCTCTGATCGAACGATGCCGTTTCTGGTACTTAGAAATGAAAATAGAACAGGAAAAGCATTAAACAAAACCAAACAACTTGTGTTAAAAAATTAGAAAAAAATTAGTTAAATATAATTAATTTTTTTAATTTCATGTTGAATCAAAATAAAATTTATTATAATATTTTTAATTATATTTGATGAATCAATTATTATATTAAATATTTTTGACTTAAAATAAAAGTATAATAGTAATATAAATATTAATTAGTTTAAAAGTTAATATTTTTTATCTATATATATTTTTTTTGCTTATAGTGACCGAAGAGAGTAAGTAAATTATTAAATTAGTTCTTCAAATTATAATAATAAATAATTTTATTCTTTCTTTTATGTTTTTCGGTAATTATCTAAAACTTAACAAATTTATAAATGGATAAAAATTTGGTACAATTAAGAGCTAAAATGTTATTATCTAAAATTTATAAATAGATAAAATTTTGGTCTTCTTCTTTCTTTTTCTAAATTTGCATAAAGATTTAAAGGAAAAAACCCTTCATTTGTTACCATGCACCACCTTTAATCAAGATGTTGCAACCTGCTCATAAACCTCTTTGGCACATGAAAGAATTGGGTGATTTTTATTTTCTTTTTGTAACTTTAGTGTAGTCCGAAGATATGCGAATGATTAAAATAAAACATATGAATGATTTTGGTATATATTATATTAAAGTTACTAAAATGACTAAATTTTCAAGTCACTCGAACTTTTTCCCTTGACACAACTGGAAAATTTAGGAGTGTGAGAAGTAATAATAGAATAAATGGTTCAGAATTACAAAAGAGAAAGACATCAATCTAAAAATTTTAAAGTGTCAAGTAAATAGATTATCTTTTTTATAAATTTAACATTTCACTCATTCATAAGTGATTCATTTATAAATAATATAAAATTTTAATCACTTACACTTGCACTTAACATTCTTCCTTATAAGTATGAGACTCTCATGTCCTATAATAGAATCTAACACTAAATTCAATTTCAGTTATTCCACCAAATCGAACTACGGTGCTCATATCTTTATTGGGGGGAGTCTAGGAGAATCGGGAGTAGAATTATTCAAAAAATCTATAAAATTATATTGTACCACAGAATTGAAGTGAATCATTATTAAAAAACTGAATCATTCTCTTGAATTTATAAACCTAACCATATTTATTAAACAAAATCAAAGTTTACCAAATACAACCACTATTAACTTAGTTTATAATATAGTTTTACTTAGTTATGTTGGAATTTTGGTTCCCTATATTTTCTTCAAATTAACTTTTTAATATGAAAATTTATTTTAAATATTAAAAGTTAATTTTTTAATAATAATAATATTTAATATTAAATTTCTTTTATATGGGTGATAATTATGGTCAAATATAAACTAAACGTAAAGAAAAAATATTTTTCACGTTAATTATATTGTTCCTCCTCTTGCATATATGGGGTAAAATATATATATATATATAAATAATTTTTAAAAATATAATATAATTTTTTTATTAAAATATTCAAAAAAACACGTGATAAATTCTATTTATCATAATAAGTGGTTTTAAAAAAATAGTTATTTATATATCAGTACGGTTCAGAATTAAAAACTGGTATACCGAACCAATTATTTGGTTCAGTTCGGTTCTGAACAAATTTAAACGGTTTGATTCGGTTCTACACTCTTTTGTTATGGTTCAGTTCAGTATAGTGTAGTTCTCTTAGTGAATTGTACCATGAATCGTCCTAATAGGGATCACCAATTGAATCAATCTCTCATGATCACAAGAGAGGGAGACGACACATTTCAATCCAAAAATCTTAAGGTGTTAGGTAAATGGGTTATCTCTCTTATAAATCTAATATTTCACTTATTCATAGGTGATTCATTCATAAGCGATATGTGACTTTAACCGCTCACACTTGCACCCAACAAACACACCACATTAGAATTAATATTTACATGTCAATCAAACAAAATGTAATGTTTTTGCTCTACATGCTTATATTAGTAGTGTAAGTTGTCATATAATAAATGAAAAATGTTAGCTTGCACTATCTTTTCTGGGTGACAATAAACATAGAGAAAAAAAGCTCAATTGGTACTATTCATTTAGTGACAAAGAAACATGTGTGGTCTCATCAAATTTGCATACTTGATCTCATCTATTAGTGTATTGTTTATCGTTATATCTGATTGGATGACTCACTGCATCTTACATTAGGTTAGACAAAAATAGTTTTAACTATTTACCACATATAAGCTCAATGACGCGTTATTTCAAGTATTATCTCACTCTCAATCTCAAACTCTATGACTCATTGACTTGGAAGTTTGAGTGTTAACTTTTCATGCCCTCCCCGCTCCACCACATTAGAAGCTTTCACCACAGCACCAGAAGAGATCATTCCTTCAGCATTAAGTATTTCTCGTTCCACCTCAGAACAATGAGACCGTCTGTGGGAATCAACATTTCATTCTCATGTATTTCCACATCAAATTTATCTAATTCTAATAGTCATGCCTCATCAAAAAAAATCTCGTGCTATTAGCAATGATGATCAGTGATCTAACTACCAAAGTCACCTCTCATGCGTCTACTTCAAGATCGCTAGCAAACCCCATTGTTTTCCTTATTGATGGAGGGTCATCTAGCAAGAATGAGGTGGACAAGAAACCTTCGACTAAGAATTCTTCAAGATTACTAAAATTAAAAGGGAAACCAAAGAAAGAAAGAATCATCCTAGAATTTTGGGATCACAAAAAAGTTATAGAGGATCTCTAATGTGATGTTTCAACTAGTGGTGATGGCCAGTGTGGCTAACCAAATATTTAGTTTCAAGAATCCTTATTATTCTGGACTGGGCTTGCACTTGGCCCAAACATCACACAAGGCCCAATCTGACTATGCTATGTGGGATGGCCTGCTAACGACGATTGCCCTCGACTAGCTCGGGAAGTAACCTCGTTCTTCTGATCTACATGGCCTTGCCTTACAGGGGCAACCCCGGGAATGACGAGGAGGGCTGATGACGATCAGGAGGACCTCGTAAGCATGCCCACTCTTCTTGTTGACCAAGACAAGTCCTCCAGGGATAACTACATAGCTGGCGGGGAGGGTCCACGACAGACAGAAGTACCTCACGAGCATCCTCCTCGTAAGGCTGACTCTTAACACCTCTGAATATCATGGAGTCCTCTTGGTTCCCAAAAGACCGCATCCATATCCTCCTGATAATTCAGAGGTGTCCATCCATGTTGGAGACCACGTGCTGGTCCCCACTACGCACACGTAGGACCTGGCAGTCTCCATTTTTGGGTCTGCTTGCCCAGCCCAACGATGGGGATCTTGGCCCAATGCTGGGGGCTATAAATACCCTCTCACTTGAGAGGGTCATGTATTCATCCTTTCATACTCACTCTCATACTTACTTAAATTTCTTTGAACCTTACTTTGACATCGGAGTGTCTTGCAGGTACCCCCCCCCCCCCACTTCACATCTAACCGATGCTATGCTCGAAGCTTATGGGCTTTGACAATCCCTTCTAGTCAGGTATGATCACTTATCGATGAAATAATGTTTTGTATGCCAACACCTATTTGAAACAAGGGCTAAGAAAAGAGGACCTCACATCATACAAATATAGAAGCCTCGTGGTGTTTAATGGCTCCGCCACTCACCCATGTGGTACCAAAGAATTGTTAATTTCCTTTGGTGAAGGAAGGGACAACAAGAGAGTGAATGTACACTTCTTGGTGATCCCTTGTGAAAGTGTTTACAATTGCATCCTAGAAAGACCTTTCTTGTAGCGCTCAACATGGTGTCATATATTATTCACCTGAAGATGAAATACCATAACTGCTTTAGTGAAATAAATGTCGTTCTAGCTAGTTTGCACGGAGCCCTCCGGATACACAAGAGGATCCTTAAAAAAACCCCGGGAAACCACCATCACTCCTTGAAAGAAGGTAGCAGAAATTTCTAATGTCACCATCATCATTATTAACCTCGATATATGCAAATACGAGACCTTATTGAGTGACGGACTTAAATATCTGGTAGGAACCAAAGTAAAGACCATGAGGTCGGTCCCAAACAGAAACTTATAGATAGTACAACTTGACGAAAATTTGGCCAAATTAGTAGAAGTCGACTTATTGATTTTAGTGAAAAAAGGCCTCATCAAATGCCTAAGGGATAAAGTCAACCTCTTCACAATTTTCCCGAATAAAATGCCTAGTACCCACTCTAGTGTGGTCTGTCATAAGCTAGACATTTATCCTTCCATTAAATATGTGGCTCAAAGAAGAAGGAGACAATCCCTTGACAAAGTAGAGGCCACAATCATCATGGTATAAGGCCTAGTTCATGCCAATTTTATTCTTGAAGCGAGATACACTAAATGGCTATCTAATATTGTCCTGGTTAAAAAAATCATATGACAAATGATAGATATGTGTAGGCTATAATGACCTCAATCGGGCATTCCCCAAAGAACATGTTGTTGGATAATTTTTCCCAATGCAAATTGATATCATTCATGGACGTGTACTAAGGGTACAACCAAATCCTTATGCAGGAAGGAGACATATGAAAAATTACCTTCATGATGGAGCGAGCCAGCTACTGATCCAACATTATATGGTTCAGTTTGAAAAGCATATGTGCAATGTATAAGAGGGTGATGAATACAGTATTTGAAGAGGAAACCAATGAAACACTTGAAGTATACATGGACTACA